GATTTTAAGGATGTGTTCAAAAGTTTCCTTGCGAAAAGATACGATGTGTCGAAGTAAAGAAATAGTTTTTTACAAGCTGAAGGATTGCTCAATAATCATCTTTTCTTTCTCCAGAATGTTATGGTTTCTTGTTTTGTGATTGTAGGTGGTAAAGAACAGAAGTCATTTAAGATGTGTGATACAGGCACTGTGTCAGCGCCGTTCCAGTGTCGTTCCAGCGTCATGCTGGCACTGTGCTGCCAGCAATGGCGCTAGAACGACACCGGAGCGACGGCTTGTCGGAACTCACATGTACGCAACCGTAATGAGAAATCGGGATTCGGCACGGCGCTGGCACGGACAACTTTGGTTCTGTCTGCGAATTGGTGCAATTCAAAATTTCGAAAAATGAATTTATCCTGCGCATGAATGCTCACGACTACTTCATTGCAATCTTTGCTAGAATAGCGACAGCAGTTTTGATTGTGCAACGCCTCATTCCATGTCCTCCCCTTTCTGGCACAGCGCGATATCCGTGCGAATAACCTTTGAAATCCATGAAAAGACTTTTTCCGGTTCGCTGCTGCATTTTTGGAATACCATCCACCAGTCCGAGTGCTGTTTCGGTGATCTCACGCCCAACTGGCGCCATGAATCTGCTGCGAAAGACACGATATCTCATCTTAGTGTGGGATAAATCTTGCTAATCGTAAGCTGCTTTTACTATACAGATCACAAGGGGAATGGGTCTCTGAAATAGTGGCAACTTTTGACGATACGGATGAATCCAAGCGATGTTTTCGCAGCAAACTCTGCGTTGACACTTGTTACCACTGATTTTTCTTTTGCCATGCGGAAAAAAAATTTGGTTCTCGTATATCCAAAGCGTTTGTCGTGGTACTCTGTATATATACACCGTCATATCAGTTGCCATTCACATACTGTGCCCAGGGCGACGGCTTACCGAGGTGGATTTCCGAAAATACAAAAGACGAAGTCCCCCTTCACTTTGGCAGAATTTTACAAAGTCCCGTTTAACCCTGAAC